CAACCAGGCGGATCTCGCACGATATTTCGCAACGGTGGAGAAAAACACTCGCGACGGGACTCTTCGCCGGTAAGATGCAGACAATGCTCTTCGCGAACTGGAAGTATCGGGAAAAGATAAAGCCGGTAAGCGTTGGATTAACTGGAGCTAGCAGGACAAGTTATCTTGGAACAACGAGAACTTCTACCGAAACAGTTAAACCATGCAGTCAGCGGGCGATATTGGAGCCATATTGAAACGCGAGTCTGGCAAACAACAGAAATATGAAGCTAAAAGGCAACATTAGCAATAACAACGGCAAGAGAAAATTCCAATGTACTTTCAGGAAGGAGTATCGGGCAGCTCAGTTAATAAAAAAGGAATACTACTGTAGTAGGAAAAAAGGGTTCAATGCAAATAAAAATAAACAAATCTTCGCTGTTGCGCTCGAAACAGCAGCATCGTTTCGATACTCACTGCTCCTTGTCTCGTTGCGCTGCTAATACTACGTGACAGGTGAACGGTGCTCTGAGACGTCTACGATGGAACAGATACTCACCGGAGCCACATGTACATGAATGTCTGCCTGCTCAACACTTGCCTCGTGTCTGCGCGTGGCCGATCATCGTCGATACAAACGTCACCAACTTCGTCACCTTCCGTCCAACTCTTCGGCCCTATACATATCGGCGGGCGACAACACCGGGACAGGTGGTGTAGTGCAGTATCACGACCTTCAAGCCGCCTCCTTGAAGTGGTCGGCCGAGTCAAACATCTTGCGCTCAGCGAGCCTGCGCTGCAGCACCACGTTGCGTGCAGCGGCGGCACCAGACGGCGCCGCGCTTTTGTCGAGGCCGTAGCGATCCAGCGCCGCCTGCGAGTTGACGACTGGAGTGGGGTTTGCGCTAGCCGCGCCCCTCAGCCCAGCGTACCGCGCGGCCCGGGCGGCCAGCGCAGCCTGAGCTGCATTGGCGACCACGGGCTTCGCGGGCGAGGCCACGCGTCCGCTGGGGTCCTCCGTCAGTTTAATGTGTTTCACCTGGTGATCAATAGACGCCTGGGCCGCACCCAACGCGCCGTACCGCGACGCTTGGGCCGTGCCAGGGGCCGCAGGGTTCGCCGCGACATCGGCCGGCACGTCCGTGGGCTGGCCCTGCTTCTCCATGGCGTAGTCGGCCGAGTCGAAGCGCTTGCGCTCCTTGAGCTTGCGCCGGATCAAGACATGGGCGGCCGAGAGCTTCCCGTAGTTGGACCTCCCTCCCGCCTCCTTTGCGGGGTCTTCCCCGCCTTGCTGCTGGTCCAGCAGATCCCGCCGGCTGGGCTTCTTCCTGTTCTCCAGGGCGCCGTACTTGCCGGCGCGACTGGGACTCATGCTCGCGAACTGCTGGCGCCGACTGGTCGCGGCCGCGG